ACCATCATGAGTGAATAACTTCATTCTCTTAGGATTGAGTGCACTTCCTTTGAACTCTTTTGTATCTTGGTGATATTTTAAGATATTAGTCTATGTTCTTGATGTTGATACTCTTATCCTTTGTGTTCTTTAATATTTATCTTTGATATTTGGGATGTATTGGAAAATATATCTTGAAACCCTAGATCAGGTTAAGAATATTTGCTATGTTAATTACTAGGAATGGTAATGAATATATCAATTGCTTAATACCCTAGACCTAATGCTGGAAAATCTCTTAAATGTATGAGGAATCGACGTTTATTAGGTTTTCTTATGAATTTCATGTGTGAGGAATCAATATGAATTATTTGAGTAGGTGGCATTAACATTGATATGTTAATTGACGTTCTTAATTTGACCTAGCCATTATACAAAGGAGGGAAAAGGAAGTAAGTTAATCCTAAGTTCTTATAATTCATCTTTTCTAAATACATTTTATAACTTTTTACTATTTGTGTTCAATTCCAAAGTTTATGAAAACTCAGTTTGCGTTAATACACTTAGTAAGCTTATGAGTTGGAATTTCCAATGAAACCGTTCCTCGTGAGATCAACTTTTATTTAATCGAAATATTATGCTACGATTGATAATATTGGTACGCTTGCCAATTATTCAATAGTTTCACAATTGAGAGATTGGAGGTTGTTCGCGATCCTTAATAGAACATGTTAGGATTTGTCACAATTGGGAGATTGGACATATATCTAATTAGTTTGTAATAGAGAAGATGATTGTTCTTCATGATTCTATTGAATGGTGTAACTAACCTAAGGGATTATGGGTTCAGATTCAATGAATAGTTTTGTCTACTAAGGGATTACGGGTAAAACAACTCTGTGTAAACTCAAGGAGATAATTACATTTCTTTCATCAATTGGAAGGAGTAGAATTCTATATGAAAAGATACGAAATAAACCCTCTAACAGTTGTTATCTTGATTGAAAGTTTTTATTATAATTATATGCTTGTCATTCTAAATCTCATTTTTGGTTGCTCAAACTTACGTAAATTAAGAATTTAGTATTTAACAAATTTAATCCCAGAGGACGATATTTTATTACTACATTAACAATTAGTGCACTTGCCAAACGTTTATCAAGTTTTTGGCGTCGTTGCCGGGGATTGATTTTTCTGTTGATATTAGTGATCTAATTCGCTTAAGATTTGAGAGTTAGTTTTTAGGTAGTCAAAACTGTTTTTATTTCTAGTTATTTTGTTTTTTATGTTTTCATTATCTTGTTTGTTTTTTCTGTTGTCACGTTAATTTTGTTGTTAGAATGTTATGTTTTTAAGTTGTTTATGCAAGGTACAGTGGTAAAAAGAATTTTGCTTTTTGACCCAAAAATTGAAAGTGTTGCTAGAAGTAATAGAAGTGACGCAAGAAAGAAGAAGCAAAAAGGAAAAACAGAGGCATCAAGTGAAAAGAAAGAACACGTATCAACAATGGTAGAAGAACAACCAAAGAGGAAAACTCTTCTTGATTATTCTATGCCAGATGTGAATAATTACCAAGGGAGCATTGTGAGACCTCCTATTTAAGTCAAAAATTTTGAAATCAAGCCTGCATTGCTACAAGTCATCCAACATAATCAATTTGGAGGTGCAGTTTTAGAGGATCCCAATTCTCATCTAGAGAATTTTCTGGCCATTTGTGATACTTTGAAGCTTAATGGAGTTTCAAGTGAGGCAATCTGCTTGAGGCTTTTTCCTTTCTCATTACGGGATAAAGCTAAAAGTTGGCTTCAAACACAACCTCAAGGAAGTATTACTACATGGGAAGATATGGCTACAAAATTTGTAACCAAATACTTTCCTCCATCCAAGTCGGCAAGAATGAGAAATGAAATCAATACTTTTGTGCAGCAAGAGACTAAGTCTCTGTACAAGGCTAGGGAGAGGAACAAGGAGCTATTGAGGAAATTTCCACATCATGTTTTACTAGATTGGTTACAAGTCCAGATATTTTATAATGGTCTTGTACCCTCTTTTAGAGCAATGTTGGATGCAGTAAGTGGATGAGCATTTAATCTGAAGACACCAGTGGAAGCCTTGGAGACTATTGAGTTAATGACAAATAATACAGGGAATATGCAGTTTGATCGTCAGAATAGAAAAGGTGGAATGTTAAAAGTTAACACTTTGGCTGTTATCCTATCCCAAAACAAGTTGTTAACACAAAAAATGACTGAGTTGACTAAGAAAATTGATAATGTGCAAGTGAAAGCAGTGAAGACAACACCTTTAGCATGTGATTTTTGTGGAGGAATACATCAAAATGGTGAATGTCAAGTCACTCAACAAGAGGTGCAAGTGAATGCAGTGGGCCAACATCAGAATTAGTTTGTTAACAATTTCAATACAAATTGGAGAAGCCCACCAAACCAACCTTAGAGTGCATCGAATCAATCTAATCAGCCAAAGCTTCCATATCAATATCAACCACAATCTAACAACCAAGGAAATAATATGTTTACTTTGGAGAGGACTTTAGAGAAGCTAACTGAGCAAATCTCAACATTTGTGGAACAAACTTCTAATTTCATGAATGAGACAAAGACGAATTTCAAGAATCAAGAAGCTTCAATCAAAAATTTGGAGAACCAAATTGGTCAACTTTCACGACAAATCTCAGAGAGATCTCCTGGAACATTTCCTAGTGACACAATTACCAACCCAAAGGAACAATGTAAAACAATTCAATTGTGGAGTGGGAGATTGGTAGAGAATGAGAAAAGGAGTGAGATGGGTAGTGAGAGAAAAGAACAAAGAGATGAGATTGTGAAAGAGAGTGAAAAAAAAGAGCAAAAAAATTGTGAGGAGGAGAATGAGGGGGAGAAAAGTCAAGAGAGTGAAAAAAAATAAAAATTGGAACCCCGATGGAAGAATAGTGGCCGCCCCCTTTTCAGTTTCGTTCCCCTTCTTTATAGGGTCTCTCCACATTTTGTTTTCACTTGTTGAGGTAGTTACCACTTCTCATAACCTTCTTGAATTTCCATAGGTTGTGGAAAAATCCACAATCCACTTATGAAACTCTTTGACCTCAACTGTGCATTCTGGACAACAAATCTACAAGTTGTGGAAACATCCACAACTCACCTGTGGAGCTCTTTGACTTCGTATAATCTTTTGGAGTCAAATCCATAAGCTGTGGAAAAATTCACGATCAACCTGTGGAATTTTCTGATCTCGATCTTTGTATTATGGTATTAAATCCACAAGTTGTGGAACATTTCACAAGAAACCTGTGAAACTTGCTGATCTAAAATTTTTTCATCTTGACACCAACTCCCTCCAAACTATGAATTCAAACCACCAAACACCTATTTACAAGAACAATGCACAAACCAACATGTATGATTCAAAACAAAGATAATGCACGATGAAATCGTTCCCATAATGCAACAACGTATGAAATTAAGTTAAATTAATGCATGAATACAATGCCATTTTATCCACTCATCAATTATTCTTCAAAGAAGTTTGACCTTTAGGGCTTTCCAATGACTCTTCTTATCTCCTTTTCATTCTTTCTTCATGAGCTTGTAGAGAACTTTTCAATTCTTCAATGATAATGGAGTCATGATATTATAACTCTTCAATCACACATACCACACAATCGAACTTTGAAATCAGGGAATGAATCTTCTCTACCACACAAATACTTTTATTTTATCTCCATATTTCTTGAATTGATTAACAATTTCCATTACACTTCATTAATAATTCGAAATTGATTCATATTGTTTCATCTTCAAAGCTTCAAAGTCACTCCTTAGTGATTGAAACCTTATCTTCTTCACTTTATTGACGGTTTGGAGGGATTTTCCAAGATCACCCAAGCTTCCTTTGACCTAGTAGGATAGACAACCTTCTTGATCATGAAATCATCCAAACATGAAAGAAGGGAGTAAGAGCTTACTGATATTTTCCTTGTTTTAAACAAAGTCTCCATCTCATTTACAGGTAATCTTTTTTCATCTTATTGCTCCTCTGTATCCTTTTTTTTAAACAATCTTTCAAACAACTTGAAAGTCAAGCAAAGATCTTATACAAAGACTCCATTTTTTTCATGATTTTCTTTTATAAGGTGAGGATATCATAAAAGGGTATGTCACTCTTTGTCATCTCACAACTCTATTTTTTTTCCACTTCTCTCAACTTTCTGGATTAAACCTTGTTCTTGATATCATTTTGTTATAGGAGGAGATGAAAAATAAAAGAGAAAACTCAAATTTATTTTCTTGAAATGTCAAATATAATGAGATATATGTAGATATTCAATGGAGAGATCTAGACTTTCTTTTAGAGCTTTTCTAATTAAAAACTCTAATATAGAATTTTCTACACCCTTTTCTAATTAAATTGTTTCTAAAATTTACTTAGAAACCGAAAAGTTATTCAATATATTTCTTTATTTTAAGTTATAATAACAATACGAGTCAATTTAAGTTGCTTTCCATCTATAAACTTAGTAAGACAAAATAGTGAACCACTCAGGAGGTGCACCTTGAATGCGTGTGACTATTTAAGACCAACATAGGGATTAGCCGCAGTCTGTAACAAGTCCCACATTGGGGAGGTCTCCTTACCAAGGAGACCTTATAAGGTAGGAGGTTCTCCAACCTCTTGAGCTAGTTTTTGAGAGATGGTTCCCCTCTTAGCCTTATGGTTGTTACATTGGTGCTTTCATTGAGAGTCAACCAACTCGAGAAGGGCTACCCACGGAGGGTTCTGACCACTGGAGGGTTCTGACCGGTAAGAAGGCCGAGTAAACTGCCAATGAGTGAAGTGCCGGTGAGTGAAGTGTCGTGGAGGGGTGGTATTGTAATAAGTCTCACATTAGGGAGGTCTCCTTACTAGGGAGGTACCTTATAAGGTAGGAGGTTCTCCAACCTCTTGAGCTAGCTTTTGAGTGATGGTTCCCCTCTTAGACTTATGTTGTTACACAGTCTTATAAGTTACAGCAAATTATCATAAAGAAAGGACTGGACTTGCTTCTCTAGTCCTGGAAGGGAGTGCTTGTCGTCGTAACTATACATCAATGGTACCATCCTTGCAAGATTGAGTGAGGCCTTAGTAAATGTTGAATGGAAATGTTTACCAAACAAACACTCTTGGTTGAGGGTCTTCCACGCATCAGATATCTCACTCATCACCCTCTCTCTTGCCATTCTCATCGTGTACTCTGGGTGATCCATCATGAGACAATTCACGTACGATCCATCTTTGCCTTGTTGATTCTCATCCTTTACAACAATAACAGTAGTAGTATGACTGTTAACATACAACCTTTTGATCTCTTTAAATAAATGTTCCATTTAAATATCTTTTTCTTTAACTCTAGGTTTACTTTACGTGAAAAGATACAAAAATAACACGCGTGATTGTTCAAACTAAATAATAATTTCTGCAGAAACTACCTATATGTCAACTAAACGTGCACATAAAACCTGTTTACCTGTGCATTTCCCAAGTCATCCCAAAGTCGAAGAATTGTTGCCAGGGAAGAAGTTATGTCAGGGATTCTGTCTATGATCTGAACATTTTCCTCAGTTAATCCATGACCCAACAGAAAGAAAGCGTGGACCATCACAATATGCATTCCAGAGCTTACTGTCCCATTCTTTAAGTATTCTTCAGCACTGGGCAACTTCCCAGAGCCAAACCATTTTGCTTCAACTAGGAAGGCTTTGCACAAAATCTTCCACTGCACAAAAATGGACCATATGTTTACATTCTATGATAATCAAGATATTAAGACTTAATTAGGATATTGAGAGAGAGATTGATAGATAGATTCAGTAAATCAAACTTCTTGCATATGCGTGACTTAAAAGCTCCCTCGTCTATTTTCTGTGTAAGTGCTTATAAATTTGAAAAAAACTTGACATTCTTAAAAAACTAAGCTTTTACAGTTGAAAATGAAATTAATCCAAACTGGGCCCATATGCATATGATTAAAGAAGCAATGTGGGTATTCTTTTACCGCATTTTGTAGTGAATATATGGGGTTCCACCCGTGCTTCTGATAGACCTTGGAGCTGATTTCATTTGTGAGATTATGGAGGACCCTGAAACATGTCCTCATGTAATCTGGTAGTTGTTCAATAGCTGTGATATCCCATCTGCATTTTCCCTCAATTATCAATCATTGTAATATTATCTATGAAAGCTCTTAATCAATAAATGGTTGCATTTACCTGCAAACAGCTTCTGTGAAAAGAGTTAACTCATCTAGAGTCCCGTAAACATCGAAAATGTCATCTATTATGTAGATCAAAGATATTGGTTTTGTGAGCTCAACCCTTTCCTCTGATAAAGTAGGATCCGAAAAGCATGCCAAGGACCAAATATACCATTTAAGTGGTTGATTTCTCGCATACATTAACTCTTTGGCTAAACCAAGTCCGGACCACCATCTGCAAAACAATTGATCCGTGAGAGGACTAATCATGGTAACAAAATAAGCAAGTCCATCAAATTAAATTAAACTTTCATCATACGTCGAAATTTGAGAAATCTCTCGATGGTACGAGCACTGCCGCAAACTGAAATCCACATTCGCCACTTCTTTTAAGGATATCCATGTATTCTTGGCATGAAAATCTCCCAAGAAAGTTCTAGCTGTAAACATGGGCAAGCTTTTGTGAAAAGGGTGTTCTAAGGTTCTCCTTACAAACTTAGATCCATGACTATCGATGCAATCCACCTTTTCCTTTAGGAGCTTGCCACTAAATTGTTCAGCTTCAGCAAGTACGTCTTCCCCTGCTATGCCTAACTGTGAAGCTTCATATATGCTCACCATCCCCTTGATATTTTCACTAAGTTCTGGCTTGAATTTTCCCTCCTTGTTGGTGAACTTGTCAAACACATCTGTGATATTTCCAATGAACAAATATTTTAGCATGGAAGAGAGAGGAACCAACAAAACTATGCCTCTTTGGGGTGTAGAATTGGAAAAAGAAAAAATCCAAAAAAAAAAAAAAAGTGGATACCAGTGCTGAAAACTTCCACAGTTTTGATATTTGGCAAGAATAAGAGAAATGATAACATCTTTTATTATTTATTATTTTATTATTATTTATGGTTATAGAATAAGATTGAGATTTCAAAATATCTGCACCCAAAATATAATCTTTAGAGGTTTCCATGTATAGTGAGCTAATAAACCATAAATTTTTTTCTTCAAGTATTTATGCATATGCGATCATTTCTATCCACACATTGTTGAATGGATTGTAGCATGTATAAAAGGGTAGGTGTAGGAATCACAGTATAAATATTAGATTAGAAACGAACCTGCGGGCACAAAGTAACCTTGTTGTCTTAGTAGCCTGAATCGAAGCGCAATGTCATGAATATCATAACCATAACCAGTTCCAATAATACTAGAATTCACGTGTTGCTTCCGTAGGAGTGCTTCAATTTCCTCTTGGAAGTGGTAATCAATATTTAGTCGCTGCATGGCATCAATCATGTACAAACCTTTGAATGAGCTTTCACCCACAGTATTCCAAAATTCATTCTTGACCACCTCCACTTTGTCTGACACATTCATGCTGAGATCTCCCTGCCAAGGAAAGTAATCATTAGTTCAAGCCTCATGGTATATGACTGTGTTGTTTGTGTTGGGGTGTGTGTATGAGATGTTGGTTATCCTTTTCAAGTTCCAACAAGAAGATTAGCAAAAAGACATGCACAATGAAATTAGGACCTACTGTTTTATACACTTTTGCGCTAGACCTTTCCTCTTGAACAATGTTCCATTTGTTGGCAATGTGAAGAGAATCAAGTTTGGCAGGGCTGAAACATTCAGAAAATTGAGCCTTTGTTGCAATAATTTGAGGTTTGGAAGAAAAAATGCAGGACTCGAAATGCAATGCCATGGCAAAACACCAAATTCTAGCTTAGTAATCCCAAATGTATAGAAAGATAGACACTGATGAGATAAGTCCTTATTGTTAGCTACATTTATAGGCACGAGTAAACACGTTAATTAGTGCATTTTTTGATATTTCACGCATCATATGAAATCAGGTACAGTTTAGCATTAACATCACGTGTTATCTGAGGCATTGGCATTATTTGGTGTCCATGGCCCTTGAAAGCGATACACACGACAAAAAGGAATCAAGTTCCACAACTTCTTCTAACTTTTCCGTATCATAGTGCAACAGGTTTCGTTTTTCTTTGCAAAGCTTCATGAGTATCGAGTCCCATCCACAATGTTACATGTTCCCACATTTTAAATTAATCTCATCAATCTTAAAATCTAAACCAATAATAGGTTTGGATTTTCAACATTAAAAAACATTAAATTAAAATAAAAGCGCATATAATTATTTTTTAAAAATCTAATAAATACTTTAAAAAAATCTAAAATTAAACATATTTTGCCAATACACTTTTTTGTTATTAATTATAGATTAACTTAAATAAATCAATTTTATTGGTAGATTGAAAAAAATAAATACAAGGTTCAAATAAAGATTTATACTTTTAAAGATATTCCAATAATTATAATGCTAATCATAATTATACTTTTTCTCGTTTGTGCGTTTGTGTTTTTGGTGTAAATTTGTTCCATTTTACTCTTCAATTTTTCAAGATGAATTAATTCTTCAAGATGAACCACTCTCTCACATTTGCGTTCTTTTTATTTATACTAGTAAGTACAAACTTTTCAATTTAGAAATTTTTTTCACCACAATCACTTAATTCTTGATTACAAATTCTGATTTTTGATTTAGATTTTTAATATTAGCTCAAACATTAAAGTAAAGTGCGAGAAAAGTAGATGTATAAGTAAAGTGCTGAGAATGTAAATGTACAGGAAGAATAAATCTAACTCATTACCGTGCAAAAAAAGTAAATGTGCAGGAAGAGTAAATTATTGAAAAAGTGAATCTAACCCATTACCAAGGATAAAAAAGAAACCAGATCCCTTATCTTTCTCCATTAACCCTTTCTCGATATCTCGCTTGTCTTTACGGATTTCTCTATACATCTCGATAAATCTTTTTTGATATTTCCCTGATTCTTTCTCGATTGTATAACCCTTTCTTGATACCTCCCTCGCCTTTCTTGATTTCTCTAAGTCTTTGATTTATCATTGAAAACATTATTCGTTTCTACTAATTTGTTTCTCGATTTCCCCTTCAATTATTATGAACCTTTGATTATTTGATATTTGATTATTGTTCTGCCTCATTCGATTTCCCTTTCGATTATTATGAATCTTTGATGATTCTCTTATTCTTCGATTATCCCTGACCACCATACCTTCATCTCAATCTCCCTTTTGATTAATATGAACTTTCAATTATCTGATTTCTTCGATTTAGACATTTGATTAATTGTTTCCCTTGATCTCGATTTTCTCTAAATCTCTCGATTGACTCATTGATTTCTTACATTCTTGATTTTTGAACCCTCTCAATCTTTACTATCTTGATATCGATTTTTACCATCTAGATCTCAATTTTTTCTATCTCAATCACGATTTTTATCTTTAACTTTAATATTTTTTTTTAGCTCATTTTTTTGATATATTTATAAATTCGCCAATAACGATTTGATAAAAGTAAGATGCTGGAAAATGAAAGTGTAGCATGTTAATAAAACTTTCATTAAATGAATACACTCTTCGATATGATGACAATCCTGTTGTTTAACTCCTGTCAAAAATAAAAAAATTGGTAGGGATTGTATTTAGTATTTAAGACTCATGTCATGTTTTTGTTTTTGTTGAAAATGCAAGGATATGGTGACTAGAGATTTTGATGATGATTCAATAACAAAGGACTTCAAGATTAGAAGACTTATATACATTTAAAATTGCTTGTAATAACTCTATTTTGTCATTTTGAGTCTGTAAAAATAGAGTCCATGATAGCCAACACTTAGTCTGTCCATAAAAACTTCATTCTTATCAAGGTCGCACTGAAATAATTGATTATCACTCAGGATAATCAATTATCCTGGATAACTTTAGTTTTCTGAAAGTGGCTCTGGAATAATCGATAAGATAATCAATTATCTATGGTTGTTATGGATTTAAATTCGAAATTTCCTTTGGAATAATCGATTATCACTAAGGATAATCGATTATCACTAAGGATAATCGATTATCCTGGACAAACTTAATTTTCTTATATTGGCTCTGTGATAATCGATTATCACTAATGATAATTGATTATCTGTGTTAGTTATGAATTTGAATTTCTAATTTCATACCTAATTTTCAAAAACCCTAAAATCAGAAACCCTAAAACTTTATTTAAAGGACTCCCATGCTCTCAGCAAGTAAAGGCAGACAAACCTTTTTTATACTCAGAAGTTAAGAGTTGTGATTGCTGAAAGAACTTTGAGTTGGGAACAAAAAGAGGCTTTGAAAACCTAGTGTGGGCTAGAAGCGATAAGAATCAGTGAGTGTGTTTCTCAGTGGATTTAGTGTTGTATTGTCTTTAGGAAAGTTGTCTTCATCCTTTATGGTTTCAAAGGAGGTGTTCATCTCTTGTGTGACTCAAGAGAGATGTTTTCTAATTCTTTTCTATTTTTAATTTTTTTTATTTATGATCCTTTATTTTAGTGACTGAGTTAATCCTCTTTTAGAGTGATTAACAACTCGACATATGGTCTTTTGATCCAAACCAGTATAAATTACTTGTGTAATCTTTTTTTCCTTATCTCTTTACTTTTCAAGTTCTCTATTATATTATCTTTTAATCGGTAAAATCTTGTGAAAATTTTTAAAGGGATAATTTTTTATAAGAAACCAATTCACCCCCCTTCATGGTTTTTGTCTTTACGTGAACATTCCGTTGCATGATACCAACAAGTAGTATCTGAGCTTGCTTTAATAGTTTTTCAAATTTTCAAAAATGGTCAAACAAAACCAAACTTTTGCTGAGGTTGCCTCTATTAATAGACCCCCACTTTTTGCTGGTCAAAATTATCCTTTTTGGAAAGTTATGATGCAAATATTTTTGAAGTCAGTTGACAGGGGTGTTTGAGAAGTTGTTGTAAATGGTCCTTTTATTCCTAAAATGATTGCAAATGATGTAGAGGAACCAAAACCCTTTTATCGATGGACTACCGAGGAAAATAAAAAGGTCCAATATGATGTTAGGGCTAGAAACATTATTTCATCTGCTTTGACCCTTGATGAGTTTTACAGGATATCAGTATGTAAAAGTTCTCAAGAAATGTGGGAAATACTAAGAGTGACTTGTTAAGTGGTAAAAAGTTTATATAATTATGCCTTGAATTGTTATGAAACCACTTAACTTATGTTAATTATAATCTATTTTTCTCCCAATATAGGATGAATTCAAGAATACCTTGATACAAGACTAAGGAGCATAATTGTCAGCATAATTGGAGTAAAATTGGAAGAGGAAAGAAGATTTTCAGCATGAAATCGCTCGAGCGAGATGGACTCTTGCTTGAGTGAATATCAGTTATTTTTCTCTGGAAGTCAGTCGCTCAAGCGCAAGAAAATTCGCTTGAGCGAATTTTAGTTATTCTTCTTTGGAGTTCACTCTCTCAAGCGAGCGTTTTGTCACTTAAGCGAAAATAAGCAACTTTCGCTTGAGCGAAAGTTGTCGCTTGAGTGAAAGACACGAAGCCCAAAATTCCAATTTTTCCTATAAAAAGAGAAGATGTGTTTTGAGAAGAGGAAACAGTTTTGGAGAAGAAGAGGCACGACTACTGCTAGGGTTTCATCCGATCTTCATCAATTCTTCACTTCTTCCACATTTGGAGCATTGTAATGGCTAACATGAGTGGCTAACTTCATTTTCTTAGGATTTGGTGCACTTCCTTTGAACTCTTTTGTATCATGGTGATATTTTGATATATTAATCTATGTTTTTATGTTGTTATTCTTATCCTTTGTGCTTGGAATGATTTATTCTTGATGTTTGGGGTATGATTGGAAAATATATCTTGAACTCTAGATCACGGTAAGAATATTTGTTACGTTGATTGTCAAGAATGGAATGAATGTATCAATTGCTTAACACCCTAAACCTAATACTGGAAAATCTCTTAATTGTGTGAGGAATCAACATTTATTAGGTTTTCTTATGAATTTCATGTGTGAGGAATCAACATGGATGATTTGATTAGGTGGCATCAACATTGTTAGGTTAATTGACGTTCGTAATTGACATAGTCATTACAAAAGAGGGATAAGGAAGGAATCCAATCCTAAGTGTCTTCCATTGATATTTTCTCAACAATTTACAGTTATTTGTCATTTAATTCAATTCAACTCTTTATACAAAACTCATCTTGTTTTAATCCACTTAGTAAGCATATAATTGGGAATTTCCATTGAAACCGTTCCTCGTGGGATCAACTTTTATTTAATTAAAATACTATACTACGATTGATAATTTTGGTACGCTTGCCAATAATTCAACATGACTCATGAAGGAACCGACAATGTGAAAAGAGCAAGAAAAAACTCTTTGATTCAAGAATATGAAATGTTTCGGATGCAACAAGGAGAAACAATTTTTGATGTCCAAAAGTGTTTCACACACATTGTTACCCATCTCTCTAGGCTTGGTAAGAATTTTGATACTGACGAATTAAATGCTAAAATTCTAAAATCCTTGGACAGGAAATGGCAACCTAAGGTGACTGCCATCACAGAGTCACAAAATCTTGCAACTATGACAATGACGACTCTCTTTCACGAGCTTGAACTAGGAAGGTTAAATGATGAGGAAGGCCAAAATATCAAGAGAAACTTAGCTTTTAAAACTGAGGTCTCAAAAAGCAAGAATAAAAAGTAAGAAGAAGATTATGAAAATGAAGAAGATGAGAACTTAAGTCTCATGATCAAGAAGCTCACTAAGTTCATGAAAACAAAAGG